CAACCAATCCTTACTTCCAAACAAAAACAACTTTATCTTAAAAAGTTTTGACAAAGTCTTGATGGGTTGAGCCGATCTTTTTTCCAGACATGGTTCTCAGGAACTGGTCCGCTTCATGGCTGAAAGGATAAGCTTCCAACCGTTTTCGCTTAAACCTTCCCAGGGCTGGCCCATTCACATTTTCTTGGGACTTCATATGCAACTCTGTCATTATATATGTGGGTTTGATGTTTTAAGAACCGTTTCATTTTGCAATTCAGAAAGTCAAGAACGAACTCAGGCGATATCTGACTTACACAGTGAGATTGATAGCACCTTTGAAAATGGACATCATGATAATTCGTGATATATATATATATATATGTATATGTATGTAAATATATATACAGATATTTATTTCAAAAAAACATATGTCTGTTTATGTTTATACATATATATATATGTTTTTGTATGCTTATATCTACATATATATATATATATATATATGTTTGTATGAATACGCAGTTGCAAATGCATACGTCATTATCATGGGTGGGTACCTGCGAATCCATAAAACGAACACTTGATGGCTATGATTCAAATATGCACCAACCCACCGTCGATGGCAGGCCTCCCTGGTGCTTTTCTTTCAGTAGTCGCTGCAGGCTTGAAAGCACCTGCGCCGGGGTGATTTCTTTCGGGATATCATGGATCTGCAATCTATAATGGAATTGGAACTTAGCGGCTTAGCCTATCAGAAGAGCAGGGATGGACATCAAATCCTTGCAAGAAGATTGTTTCTGTAACATTCTGTACTGGAAAGGAAATTGAGACTGGAAACGCAGGGATCCAACTCTGACAACAAGTTGATGGTAGAAGGCTGTCCATGCAAAATCCTTTTTGTCAACCTCGCATGATCGCTCTTTGTGCTGTTGTCCGGTCAAAGGCACCCCTTTTCTTGAAACACTGCCCTAGCTCGCCACTTGATTGGCTTGTTACCATGGCAAGTTGCAGTGGATCACCCCAAGGGATGGCTGCAAAACAAAACTTCGAAATTTCGCCAGGCGATCTGGTGATCAGCAGCTACCTCCATCACCTGCCTCATCCTTTTTCGGAACTGGCACGGCTTTGGCCTTAGCCTTGGACTTGGCCTTCTTTTGTTTCAATCCGGCTAGAAGCCCTTTTGCGGCGGCCTGTGGGACAGGATGGGCATAGGGGGAATAAGATATGGCTTTGTTTGACAATATCGGAATTGAGCAACACAGTGTGGGTCATTTTGCCATTTCAAAAATATGGAACAGTGACATTTGGGGGTATTCCTCATTGCTGGATAAATCCATTGATGCGAGAATATCAGGGTGGATTACTACATGCCCTTTTTTAAAAACGATTGTTGGCATTTTGTGGTGGGTTCCTTTTTCGACATATCCATTTTCCATATGCACGAAAACCCCATTGTTGATTCTTATTTCCGACTGAAATAATTGAGAAGCATTGGCATGCACTGGCAGGCACCATTTTCCCTTTGTGGATTTGGGGAAGGGCCCATTCTTTGCCAGAACGCGTTTTGAAGCTTTGAGCAAAATGGATATGTCAAAATGAAGGGGTGCCCCAAGACTTTCTATACTTGATATTTTGGAAGCCCTTGTGGCACCTGCATCTTGAAACGAGATTCAAACATTTGCATTTGGGATAGACCCCAAATTTTGGGAGGACACATGCTGAGATTTTGGGTCAAATGGAAATATCAAGTGAGATGGCCCTAATAAGTAGTCACCCCAAAACTATTTTCATTCGATGTTCATATGCTTGGAAGAAGCCAACAATTTGGGAATCCCCCGCCTTAGCTTTGTCAAACCAAGCCGATTTTTCCATGTAGACATCGATGAATTTCTGCAACTTTGGATCTTTGGTGGATGCGTTGGCCAAGAGTTCTGTGGCCTTCTCGTAGAGCTTCTCCATTTGGGCTGAGTGGGAAAACAACTGATCCACAAGCTGGTCCCCGTATGCCAACCCTTTCAAGCTCACTGCGTATTTTCGAGCTTCACTGCCCTCCTTTAGCACCTCCTCTTTGCAATCCTCTGCTTTCCTAGGCTGACAGATGGAAGGGCCCCCAAACAGTTTTTCCTACCCCATCCACATGTAGATATATCGGATATCCATTGCAAAGAACTTGTTTGTAAACCGGAATTTCCTTTCCAGGGGGTGCATTCCTGCTGGCTTTGTTTTCGAAAACAAACTTGTAAAGGTTAAATGATCAACAACAAGAAAGTTAGCAAAAACTGTCTATATTGCAAAACCATGATTCTCTTTGAGTGTCGCTGGTTCCACTGGTACGGTTGCGTCTTGTTGGCTTCTGGGTTGTTTTTTGGCCTTTGCTTTTGCTGCACTGCCTCCGATGAACAGTTCGGCCATGGCTTGTTCGGAAACCACATCCATTCCGGGTAGGGCCCCAGCAACCAAAGGACCCGTTCCTTTAGTCATTGATTCCCAGAATTCTTTATCCATGCCCTTCGCTTCCCCTTTCATTGTCATTCCTTCCGATGTTTCATCTTCCTTGGTGTACTCTTTGCTCATAGAAGGATACCACCAAATCTCCTCCCCAGGGGAAAAAGGAACCAAAGGACAAGTTGGAGTTTGAATCTTACAACAAGTATGTCATGGCAAAAAACATTTTGGTTGTTTGGAATTGGTGTCCTCATCATCATTTGGCCAATCTTCATCATATTGATAGAGTCCGAGGGAACGCAGGCGTGCACATAAGATATCTACCTTGTTCGGTGGGAATTTTTTCTCAAGGTCACGTCTTTTGACTCCAGCTCGGCCAGACTTTGCCCTGTTGGTTGTTGAAACCCTCCGTTCCACAATCAATGCCACCCTTGGCAACGAAGATCAGAAAAGGCTCTAAGGGTACAATAGAAAGACATCCAGTGGTTCAAACAATATATATATATATTTATATATATATATATGTCAATAGAATCTCTGAGGTTGGGGCTCGTCAAGGGCTTTGCCATTCTGGAGCCATAGGTTAAAAAGGTCAACTTTGTTTTTCGAAGCATACTCCGACAGCTTTGCCGGGAAACGTTTTCTGTCTTGAAGCTGGCGAGAAAACACATCCCATTCTTTCTTATTGGTCGAACCTTATCATCAGGCTTGCAATGAAACTGGACAAGCATCCCATGCACAGATTTTGGTTGACACAATGTAAATTAATCTAAGTCAGGTGCTGTTAGCCTTTTGAGCCACCATCACCCCCTGCTGCGCAGCAGCAGTGATTGCCTTGCCTTTCTCATCCTTTTCATCCTCTACTGCCACCAGCGCCGTGCTGGTTGCTCCATCTGCATCCTCCTGCCCTGCATACTCCTGCTCTGCTTCCTCACCATCCTCTTCATCTTCATCTTCTTCGTCATCTTGCTCTTCATCTCCATCATCATCCTCGCTCGAAGAAGAATCACTGGACATTTCTTCTCTTTCACTGCAAGGCCCAGGCAATTCCAAGGTAGTCTCACCATCGGAAACCTCAGCTCCTTGTCCCGTCTCTTCCTCTGGCTCCTCCTCCCCTTCCTCTTCGGCATCGGAAACATCCAGTTCATCCAAACATTTTTGGAATTCGTCATCCTCAAGCTTGCGTTTCTTGCTTGTCTCAGCATCGCTTGCCTCACTCTTGCTCTCTACTGGTTTGGTTTTCTTCTGAACCGGAATGGCCAGAGCCAATGCCTGTGTCGAATCTTCTTCCTTTTCTGTCTTCTTCTTCCCTTCAGTCTTTTTCTTTGGCTTCTCCTGGCTGTCCTTTGCTTCCTTCTCGGCTCTTGTCTTTTTCTCTGGCTTCGCTGGCTTCTCTGTCTTCTTATCTTTTTTGCCTTTTACCTCCTGTGGTTCCTTCTTGTGATCTTTGTGCTTGTCGACCTTCTTGCCAGCTTGGACTGGGACTGGAACAGAAGCTTCACTTGGCGACTTCAAGGCACCTGTTGGCTTGTCAGGCGGCGTGCAGTAGACAAAGGTCGGTTTCGACTTGAAGTTCACCCGTGTGGCAGGCGCAGTGCTGGCGGCTTGGGCTTTCAAAGCACCCTTTCTGGCTGCATCCACGATCTCTTTGCCCTTTCTCACTTTCTCGGCTTTGCTCGGTTTGGCAACAGGCTCACCTTTCTCGACTGTCTTTTTTGCCTTTTTCTTTTCCTTCTCGGTCTTGTGCTTGCTGTGAGCCGGCGCCATGTGGGGCCGAAACAGGCAAAAGTTAGGTAGCAGCAACCTACCCGCGTCACGGAAAATTACAAAATGCCCTGAGCCACTGGGAATCGGGGCCAGCTAAAAATAACGCCGTTTGAATGCAAATGGAGGCATTCACCACATGATGAGCTAGCTACAATCTGACTGCAACTTTGTTTTCTTTAGCCAAAGAAACTTTTGGAATTACAAAAACATGGTTGAAATTGCCTCAGATACAAATCTTGGCTTTTCGCTGCAAACCGCGGCTTTTTCTACTACAAATCGCGGCTTTCTTTGGATCACCATAGACGTTTTTTTTTGGAAAAGATGTCAATACACATTGATAGGTGAAATAAAAAACCGAATGTCCGAGCCCATGCCCTCTTCCTCCGGTCGCCAATGGCACCTCCTTTGCTTAAGGCCTTCAACACAAGCCGTGGCATTCTATGCCTGGCATGGCATGAGAAGAGGACACCATGTGCATGGCTGGCGTGGGGGCGACAACGAATGGGGAGACACTTGCCCATATGTATAGCTATGTTTTTTTTGTACATTTAACGCTATGGCCCAACATTTCGTGGGATATGGCACCTCTTGCTTCATTTCTATCAAGTTGAAAATGGACAAATTTTGGATTGCACAAGAACCTATGGGCAAAGAAAAGGGCAGAAAACACATTTTCCCTGCAGTTCGAAGCGGTTTGCCCACTATGGAGTCTGCACCCCTATCAATTTGAACACGTGGAAAAAGACACCTGTATGGCATGATGTCATCCACATCTAAATGCAGTTTGAGACTTCTCAGCTATTTCACTAAGAAGTCAGGTAATCAAAGCATGGGCCCAATTTGCCATGCTTCACCCACTTGGTGAAATCCTTTGTGCAGGGGCTGGGATTCTTCAATCCATTCTTCTTTACCTTGCGGGCAGCTTTGTAAAACTGCTTGGCATCCTTAGCGCATTGAGGAGCCAATTGGGTTCGCACCTTTGCCAAAGCACGCCCAAACCTCAGAGACTGTTACCCTGGGAAAGTCAGGTGGAACACATACACGGAGATGTATCTATGTATCTATCTACTGTATCTATATCTACCTATATTTTTTCGATGGATGAATGGATGGTTGGATGGTTAGATAGGTAGGTAGATAGATACAAAACTATGGAACCATATGCGTCTATATGATATTATGTAGACATATTTGTTTATGGGTGTGCACATGTTTGTTTAAAAGCCACCTTTGCCCCTGCGGTGGAGCCTCAAAGTTTGACTTGGCATGTACAGCTAACATCACTCTATACATACATATTGAGATGTATATGTGTATGTTTTGTTACCCACCTTCTAGCGATACCTACCTACATACATACAGACAGACATACACACACACATGCACGCATACATACAACGATACATAGATACATAGATAGATAGATAGATAGATAGATAGATAGATAGATAGATAGATACAAAGATACATTAGATAAACCTAGATGGATGGTTAGATAGATGGATAGATAGATAGATAGATAGGTAGGTAGATAGATAGATAGAAGGAAAGATAGATAGATAGATAGACAGACAGATAGATAGAGAGATAGATACAAAGTTACATAGATAGATAGATAGATAGATAGATAGATAGATAGATAGATAGACAGACAGATAGATAGATAGACAGATAGATACAAAGTTACATACATACATACATAGATAGATAGATAGATGATAGATAGATAGGTAGATAGATAGATAGACAGACAGATAGATAGATAGATAGATCGATAGATAGACAGATAGATAGATACAAAGTTACATACATAGATAGATAGATAGATAGATAGATAGGTAGATAGATAGATAGACAGATAGATAGATAGATATGTACATACATACATTCAACAAACCTGTATGTGTATATAAATGCATATGTATACATGCTTTCGAAACATATACATTTATATGTGCATATTTGCTTGCATCATCTATACTGTCCAACCACCATCCTCCCAGGTGGGGGCACTGGTTTTCAAATCACAACGTGCTGGGAAACCCCTAAAACAAATATCATAAATACCCCAAATGGTCTTTGAATCATGGACCCTTTGGTTTTAATTTTGACAAGACAACAAACCATTTCCGATTTAGGCTAGCCCCAAAACTTAAACCAGGAAAGCTATCCATCATACTATACCCCTTAGATGCTTATATGTACTTAAATCATTTGTTGGGGATTGAGGTCGGGGGGGTTCCAGCCCAAATAGAAAATAGGAACACACAATAATTGCCACAAGGAAACCATTGGGGCCCACATTTATTTACTGTCATATCGTGGCGTTTCTGTACTGGAAGCAAACTATTGTTTGTAATTTAACTGGTGGTTTGCCACCCCAAAAAAAGGCCCCCACAAGTCTACCTCCAATAGCAATTTCCCTTAAGTTTTTCTACATATGAGATAGACTTGTGGGGGTATTTTTTGGGGCGCCAAACCACCCTGAAAATTGCTAAGTATTGTGGCAATGGCGTGTCCAATGAATAAACCCGATTGAATTCAAGAGGATGTTTTTTCCATGAGGTATGGGGGCACCAACAACATTGGAACTAAAATATGGAAGAGGGACGGCAAAGGGTAGTTTTGGCTGCCTTTGAGGGCCTTTGTGCCAGCAACACGAGACACGCCTTTGGAGTCAATGTATTTCCGGACTAGCTCCACCTTCTGATCCGTGGTGTCCCCCAGAATCGGTGCGAACTTGGCGATTTCACTGATGCCCTTTCTACCTGGATTCGCACTGCTTGTGGAGTTACAACATGAAGTGGGACATGGTTTCTTGGTGCCCAAATATCAACCCAATGAGTTTTTGAATACATACCCGAACAAAACAGGGAATTCAATTTGGGGCCCATTTCACCGGTTAGCTCTAAAGTAAATGCTTGACCAATCCCATTACCCAAACACCACTGCAAGATATGGAAAAAGGATTATGCATTCTACTGGAACCATCATCGAGATTTCTTGGGAGCCAAAGATCCAAAGCCTTGCTGATGCAAATGAAGATAAACAAGTGTATAGCCATGTTGGCTTGGCCGTAGGTGATCCAAAATCACCCATTCTCATGGAGTAACGATACACTTGGAGGGTTGCAAAAACCTTTTGCATCATTGGGTGAAATTCCAACAGCGAATTCTGGGGTTGTTCCAATACCCAAAAAAGGGCCCTGGCAGCCGCTATGAAAACAAGGATGGCACATCGTGTCACCATCAAATTTCCGATCTGCACCGAGCGTGCCGATAGGTCGCCCAATGGCGCAGCTTTACTGCGCTTGGTGCTGTGCCTTGACCTGAGCAATGGAACGGATGCAAGGTGATAGACCCATGGGGCATCTGCGATTTATATAATTATAATCTTACATCGTCTATTGAACAAAGCTTGGTTGGTTATGGCCAAGAATGCGGCATGTAAAGCCTTTTGTTGAATTCTTACTCAAACAAGAAATGAAAGTTCGGGATTAACCTATTACCAGAAAACATGTTGTAGCCAAGGGACACCCACACCCAAGATGAACAGACCGGTGCGAGGGTCACTGCCCCGCCCCGGCGTACATTCAAGGTTTGGTACACTGCGGTGATAAACCCTTCCACTGAGCACATGTCCATGTATTTGCCATCATACAAGACATCATAGGCAGAAGCTTGGCGGCCAGCCTCTGAACCAAAAGGGTTTGCGTATTTATATCTTTCTCCAAAATATAAACCATACTAAAACTAAGAGATCAACAGGAACCATCAAAAACTACAGGTTCAAAGGGTATGCATCCTTTCAGATTCTGTTGGCCCCATACATCCATTTAATCCAATTTACAAAGGTAAAATTGAAAAGGTCAAATCATAATACCAAGGAGGGCGCCTCCAACTCTCCAATGGTTACACTCATTGTTCCCGAGAAGAGCTCTGCATGGTCGGTCGGGTTTGACCAGTCCAACCCGGGAAGGCTGTAGACCAATGCCACCAACATACTGATGACCTAAGGCCCATGGATTCAGGGGACCCTATGCCCTATGCCTTGATGTTTGAAATGTTTTTTGATTGGTTTGATAATGTATGATATTACTTTACCTTTTCAAAACTTAAAGTACCACTGGGTGTTTGGGACAACAACTCAGAAAGCCACTGACGGTGCCCTGAGCATACGCAGACCAAGGAGTGTTGCCTTCTTCTCCTTTTCCTTGAAACTGCGAGGCTCCTTTGACTGGTCAATCCCTTTCGGGGTGGTCTTAGCATCCTTGACTTTGGCCGCAATGGTCTTGTTCGGTGGCTTACAGGAGACACCCTTAGCCATTTTTTCAACGAAGAGCCACCGGTTTTCAGGTAAAGCAAATGCTGGTTTGACCCAAGATGGCCCCAAAGCCATAATTGCATGGATTTGTCAAATCACTGCATGGAACAGGGCTGTGATATAAGCAAGTTTGGCAAATTGCATGTTGAGAAATCACTGGATCATTGTACAACAGCAATGCAAGATTCCTGGATGGAAACATTCCATTTCCTTGCAAGCAGCTTTGTTACTCTTTGAATCCCATCCTGCCCCCCATGACCCGGAGTAAATGGGTGCCAGTGGTGCCCTGTTTCTTCATTGCCGCGAGGTCGAAAGCGCCTCGCAGGACGAATAGGACTGGGCGACTGAGCCATGTGGGGATCAGGCAGGTAAAGGGGCCAAACCAAAGGTTCAACAAAAAAAGAAAAATCATACTTTTTCACCTGTATTGTTTCCTTCTGGTGGGGCCCCAGCCCAAGTTGTGCCCAGCCTTCCATGCCATGTGACACCCCAGCGCTCCCAGAACAGGATGTTGTTTCTCGAAACAAGTTGGAATATGTGTCAGATAGAAGATTTGAATATATCTTAATATATCATGAGCCACGTCATAAATTATGTTAGGTGATGGGGATGACTGGAAGTAAAATGATGCTGCGTAGTAAGGGTCATGCATGTTCAAAAACTCCACATGTAGCAGTCTGTCGGAATCTGTTTTGCCGCGACACAACCATAATCTATATGGGAAAGTTTGACCATGAATCACAACATGGGGATCACCCAAAACGAAAACAACCCATGATGGTTTTGTTGGTTAAATGTTCCCTGAATGGAGCCTTCATCCATGGAGGTGCAGCGTGCCGATGACCGCGCATGATTGATCGGAAAATGTTCAAAGATTTCACAAACAGAGGTATGCCCACAAAATCTTGGTGGTGCAGTTGGGGTGAAGAATAGTTATATACTAAATATGCTAATAACCCCTTGCTGACATATTGTAATAAGTGAAGCTGCACCCCCAAGTAGTGCGTAGGATCCCTTTGTTGTTGTTTTTTTCTGCGAGTAGAGCTTTGCATAGCGCCGATAGCTATAGATCGAACATTTCAGATCTATTCAAAGATCATACGTCCCACATCCCTGGTGAAATGCACACACACAGCCGCCCCTTCAGGCAAGGAATCAACACTTGAAGGACTTTCAAACAATCAAAGAAACAAATGAAATCATTTTCTTCCCCTTTGGAACATCTAAATTGATTTGAAACCCCTTGCCAAAAGAGGATTAAACCGCAGGTGTAATCTGCCCAGGGCCCCTACATAGCTCAAAGAGCACATTCAGCAACAGATCCGGTCCGGTTGACCCCACCGCTAACTGTACGTAAATCACTCAGCATCAAAACCGGCACGGGACTTTGCCATGTTCCAAGCCTCATATGCCCCAACAACTTTCATAGATACTTGGCCTGTCGGCCCTGATCCCTTTCCCGAAACCTTCTTGACGTAGTAGGCCGCGTGCTTAAGGAGCACTTCGATGGTTGCGTCACCGGCCTGGGAACGCAGCGTGTAGCTATGCAAACCCTTGTTGTCTTTGGTCTGGTCGGGGTGGGCCTCCCTTGGAAGCATGGAAATGTCATAGCCCTTGTACAACACAGGTTCACTGTCACTGGGAGAAGGTTCTCTGTCCTCAACAGAAGTGCTTTCATGTCGGGTCTTTCGGGATTTCAAGCTTCCAACATTCTTGGACCTGTGAGAGAAACTTGCCCTCTTCCTGGATTCCTTTTTGACCTTCTTGCCAGTCTTGACCTTCTTGCCTTTCTTGGTCTTGGAACTCTTGGGCTCAATGGTCTCAGGCGTGTTGTCAGGAGGAACCTTGTGGAAAGTTGCCATGTAACATTATGCAACCACAAACATTTGGGGCGCAAGTAAACTATTCATAAAACATTGTCAAAATATAAGTTTACAAACAACCATTGAGATTTCTGTTTAGGGACTGGTTTTCCCAATCTCGGCGGCGTGGGCACCAACGGGAACCCAAAGAAATCAGGCTGGGGGCAATCCGGAGTATGCAAAGTTGTGGCATCAGCTGGGGTTGCTTTCAAACTTCTCATATGGGCAGCCGATGAACTTTCCACCATAGCTTGGTCAAAACGTTCGTTGGGTTCAAAGGATGACTCCCAAACACTCCCATCGCTAGCGGTATCATCATAGCAATGAAGGTTTCCCTGGCTGATATCATAGGCAACCATGCAACAATTTTCACAATCCTCCCCCAAACAACTTTCCCACTTTCCGTGTTGAAGGCATAAGGGAAGGCCAGGTTCCATGGAGGGGAGGTCGGGCCCACGGCTGCCACACGGGACTGCCTTGCTGCTTGCATCACTGTCACTTTCTCCCCCATCATTTTCTTCCCCAACCTGGGAGGAGGCATCAGATGCGGAATCTTTGTCATGGGTGGTGTCAACAGCATCACCTTCATGGGTGTCAGGTTGTTCTTCATCGCTCTCAACCCCATCCTTGGAACCAAACTTGGGAACTACGAACTTGCCCCAAAACTCCTTCAATCGTTTCTGCTCCCGGTCTCCGGTTGGCCAATCCCCCAAAGGTTCCGGCTGCGAGTCGATGCGTTCGACTCCCTCAAAACGCACGCGGCCAGAGGGTGCGCTTGCATCACTGCCGCTGGACGAACTAGAATCATCCCCATCCTCGGGTTCATGAGCATCACCAGGTTCATCACAGGCATCGTCACCATGGTCATCGTCGCTCAGAGAACTACGGTCACCTTCATCACCAGAATGGTCCTGTGTGAAGGGAAGGAAATGGAATGAAATGAGAGGAAAGGAAACTCAATGAGATGAAATGTGATGAAGGGAATGGAACGAGATTAATCTAGCGGAATGGAATGACATGGAGTGAACGGGAATGAAAAGGAAGGGAATGGAACGGCATTGAATGAAAGCGGAAGGAATGAAATGACATGGGCTGAAATGAACGAAATGGAATGAAATGAAATGGAACGCAGGGAATGAAAATAAATGAAAAGGCATGAAATGAAATTGAATGGAATCAAACGAAATGAAACGAAAGGAACATGATATGACATGAAAATGAAATTAAATGAACTGGAATGAAATGACATGACATGAAAAGAAATGAGCATGTCATGAAAGGAAGTGGGGAATGGAATGACATGGAATGATACGGAATGAGATGGAATGAATTTCAATAAGATGGAGTGAGGTGGATTTGCAATGGAATGAGATGCACTGAGATGGAAGAAAATGGAATGAAACGGAATGAAATGGAATGAAGTGGAGTGAAATGGTATGAACTGGGATGAGGTGGAAGGAAATGTAGATGGAAACCACAACCCCCAAGAAAAAACATCGCAACATAAACGCACGCTCCTAGATAATTTCTAACATACAATGGGTTTGCAAAGGGTCCTCAGGAGCATCAGCTACTTCCCCCACAGGTTTGTTCCGGGCCGGGGATTTCTGAAGGTAGCTCTTCAACTTGGCGACATTCTCATCATAGCTAGTGTCACCTTGGCTCTTGTGTTTGCCTTCAAAAATCACTTAGCTGATTGCATTGGGCTATTTTTCCTTGGGTCCCTTGACATTGGTTGTAACCAAAACAGACATTATACTTTTGACCCTGCAAGCCACTACTGCGAAACAGGTATCGAAGGGCGCCCAGGAGCTTCTTGAGCCTTTTGGCTTCCGTCCCCGCAACAGAGACTTTGGTCTCGTCTTCCCCCGGAACAAGCAAACCCTTCCCTACGAGAGCGTCTGCCCACAGCAGCGCATCTGCCAAGTAGAAGCCGCTGGGAACCTCCGGTGGGTGCCCAAAAGCAAAACAGGAGTTAGGAAATCAATCTTATTTTTGTTTCACCATTACGGATTGTAGAGCTAATGAACAGGGATATCAAGTATGGGTATATATCAACTGGGATATATATATATATATATATATACGCGAAACGCCTACTAACAAGAACCGACATTATGGATTTCGAGGTCCTCGAATGAATGATTGCCTGGAATGATGAATGGAGCGCGTCAATGTAAGGTTACCTGGAAGGTGGCTTGCAAAAACACAATAATACAGGTTCTTTACACGATTTATTTCGAATCTTTGATATGGAACAAGTGTGAACTCCACAACGAAAATACAACACACGGGCATAAACTTTCACAAACCGAGCCTTACTTGGGTACAGCTGACAAATCGCGCGAAGCCACACGTAATTCGCACTGATCTCCTACGTGCAGCTTTTCAGCATCGTTAAAATGAGGAGTTCCTGTTCAAAAGGTTGGTTTATAGTTTTCAAGTTTTCATGTTTGAAAAACACATCCAGCAACAAACTAGGTTAGGCTTGATAATTTTATGTTCTCATGTGTTTGTTTAAACCCAACTCCTTGAACGAAGGCCTTGTGACCTCCGAAGCCAGTTTGACAAGAGCGACCCCTGGCTGAAGACGTTTGTTGCGAACTATTTCCACAGCAACTTCGGGTAGATCTTCCAACCACATCTCGGCAAGTTCTTCCTAGATCGCTGGATTGGACCTCTTTCAAAAACACATTTTGTGATATAGTGGCATCCCATGTTGGGAAAACAAAACCAACGTGATTTCAAACGGTGCCAAAACAGGAAAGCATCCACATCATTTGAGCACCAAGAGATGCCTGACCCAGGTCCTTGGAACAGTGAAGGTGTGTAACAAGGGGAAATATAATAGATCTTGGCCATTCCCCTACGATCATAGGCCCTATGGACCTACATTTTGGGTTAAGAAAAACTGACTTGGGGCAATGCCTAGAATCTGACGGATCGCCAAGTAGAATGATCGATGTCAGGCAACGCCATTGGCTAAACAACACCAAGCGAATGTGCGCCCAACCCAGGAAAAAAACCTAACCCTGAATGGCTGAAGACACCAACACCCATTCAGCCATGCACTCCCTGCGCAGGACCTGTTGAACGTGTCTCAGCATGGGCCGGCTCCCGGTTTGGTGGTCCAAATTGTATACTTCTTTTTGGGAATGCCCCAAAAATAGTAAAGAGACTGGAAAACCAACTTGCAATTTTGGCCTCACCATTCCAGAATTTGGCGTTGCAGGTCAAAACGAAAAGTTTTGACACGTAGCCGTGCGGTTGTGGATCTCTTTGGTTCAAAGCCAACCATTTGGATCAATAAAAAACACAGCTGATGTATTTCATCAAAGGTTATACTACCGGGTTTGCCCGTGACGGTTTTAACAGATTTTAGGGATATCTAGTTCCACAAGAATGGGTATGGTAACAGGCCTGAAAGAACCCAAACAACAAATATTGGTAAACCACGACCCAGCCAAGGTTTGGGGTTTGAAGTTTGGTTGAAAAAATCACTGTCTTGCCATCAAAGGGTAAATAGAAATAGTTTGCCATTTACTCTGGGATCTTATGAGGAAACAGTTCCCCTTTCAACGGTTTATTTTTAAACCTGCATGTTGATCTTTGTATATAAGTGTATAATATATATATATATATATATAATATCTATATAATACACATACTTAGATAGATATGAATATGCATTCTTCACTCGCATGCCGGGCGTAAGACCTTTGTAGAGTGAGAGCAAACTACATCATGCACACTCAGCACTGCTGCTGCACAACAAGTTTGCACAAACCCACCACCACAGTCATGGTAACAAGTTTTCAGCAGCAGTCTCACACTGTTGCATGACAACTGCAATGTATGCAGTAGGTTGCAAGAGCCAATGGAAGCACTACATGGAGCAGGCATTCTCCAGCATACCCTACACAAACGGCAGCTGACGCTGTTCTTTGGAGAAACGATTCCCTAAGGACACCATTGGAGTGTCACGGTGATTTTTCGATGATTTTTCGATGATTTCCTAGGTTTTGTTTGATTTTCTCTTTTGAAGCAAAACCTTCAAAAATCATCGAAAAATCATCAAAAAATGCTTGAAAAAAACAAAGAAAACAAAGAAAACATGCCAAAATCTTGGATTTTCATTGTTTTTTCAAGCAAAACGATTATTTTGTGATGATTGTTTGATGATTTCCTAGGTTTTGTTTGATTTTCTCTTTTGAAGCAAAACCTTCAAAAATCATCGAAATATCATCAAAAATATCATCCAAAAATCATCAAAAAACCATCGTTTTGCTTGAAAAAAAACAAGAAATCTTGCCAAAATCTTGGATTTTCATGTTTTTTCAAGCAAAACGATCATTGTTCGATGATTTTTTGATGATTTTTCGATGATTTTTGCAGGTTTTGCTTCAAAAGAGAAAATGAAACAAAACCTAGGATATCATCAAAAAATCATCAAAAAATTATCGTTTTGCTTGAAAAAAACCCAAGAAAACTTGCCAAAATCGTGGATTTGCATTGTTTTTCCAAGCCAAACGATGATTTTTTGATGATTTTTGATGATTTTTTGATGATTTCCTACGTTTTGTTTGATTTTCTCTTTTGAAGCAAAACCTTCAAAAATCATCGAAAAATTATCATTTTTTATCATTGTTTTTTTCATTCGGTTAAAAATTGTCATTTTTTTATCGGAGTTTTTATCATTCTGTTTGTCCTCTCAGGACACCAGGGCCATCCCACGAAATTTCTTTGTCAGCAAATCATCCTGGCAAACGTGCTGAAGGTGACTCTCCCAAGGTTTGAACAGCGCAAGGCTGCCATGCACATGGACTTTGAACACCCCAGCCGCCAACAGGTAGTCTGTCGCTATCCATTTTTATTTATTTTCAATAGTTAACATTGCAACCAAGACATACTCGGGATACATGTTTGATAATTCCAATATATACTTGGGATATTTATTTGATAATTCGAACACATACTGGGGATAAATGGTTGATAAATTCAACACATACATGGGATAAATTTCTGATAATTCCAACACATACTTGGGATAATTTTTTGATATTTCCAACACAAGCTGGGATAATTTTTTGCTATTTCCAAAACGTACTAGGGATAATTTTTCAACAGGTGATGGGATATTTCCCGAGAGCGTCTGAGCGCAGGGTTCTTCCAATAGTGGGGGTCTGTAAAACATCTTCTCATCTTCACATCCTCTCACCTTCACATCTTCTCATCTTCACATCTTCTCATCTTCACATCTTCTTATCTTCACATCCTCTCATCTTCACATCCTCTCATCTTCACATCTTCTCATCTTCACATCTTCTCATCTTCACATCTTCTCATCTTCACATCCTCTCATCTTCACATCCTCTCATCTTCACATCCTCTCATCTTCACATCTTCTCATCTTCACATCTTCACATCTTCACATCTTCTAATCTTCACATCTTCTCATCTTCACATCTTCTCATCCTCCCATCTTCTCCTCATCTTCTCATCTTCAGATCTTCTCATCCTCCCATCTTCTCCTCATCTTCTCACATCTTCTCACATCTTCTCACATCTTCTCACATCTTCTCATCTTTACATCTTCTCATCTCACACCTTCTCCTCTTGCCCTCTTGCCCTCTCCTTCTTTTCTATTTCTCTCTTGAAGGCGGGAGCAGGGGCAGTGCCAACGAGACGGCACGAAACGCAACCCTTTCGCACGAAATGAGGTTCGATCGTCAAAAACTGAGGAGAAAAATTGCGATTTTACTTGTGCCGGAGCAACCCTTTCGCACGAAATGAGGTTCGATCGCCAAAAACTGAGGAGAAAAATTGCGATTTCAACTTGTCCGGTGCAACCCTTTCGCACGAAATGAGGTTCGATCGCCAAAAACTGAGGTAAAATTGCGATTTCAACTTGTCCGGCGCAACCCTTTCGCACGAAATGAGGTTCGATCGCCAAAAACTGAGGTAAAATTGCGATTTCAACTTGTCCGGTGCAACCCTTTCGCACGAAATGAGGTTCGATCGTCAAAAACTGAGGTAAAATTGCGATTTCAACTTGTCCGGTGCAACCCTTTCGCACGAAATGAGGTTCGATCGCAAAAACTGAGGTAAAATTGCGATTTCAACTTGTCCCGCGCGACCCTTTCGCACGTCCCTTTCGCACGAAATGAGGTTGGGTCGCCAAAAACTGAAGTAAAATTGCGATGTGTGTAAAAGCGTCTGGGTGTAAAAGCGTCTGTGTGTAAAAAGCGTCTGTGTGTAATAGCGTCTGTGTGTAAAAGCTTCTGTGTGTAAAAGCGTCTCTGTGTAAAAGTGTTTGTGTGTAAAACTGTTTGTGTGTAAACTTTTGTGTGTAAAAGCGTCTGTGTGTAATAGCGTCTGTGTGTAAAAGCTTCTGTGTGTAAAAGTGTTTGTGTGTAAAAGTGTTTGTGTGTAAAAGTCTCTGTGTGTAAAACCCTCTGTGTGTAAAAGCGTCTGTGTGTAAAAGCGTCTGTGTATGTCTGTGTGTAAAAGTCTCTGTGTGCAAAAGTGTTTGTGTGTAAAAGCGTCTGTGTGTAAAAGCTTCTGGGTGTAAACGTCTCTGTGTGTAAAAGTGTTTGCGTGTAAAAGTGTTTGTGTGTAAAAGCGTCTGTGTGTAAAAGCGTCTGTGTGTAAAAGCTTCTGTGTGTAAAAGCGTCTCTGTGTAAAAGTGTTTGTGTGTAAAACTGTTTGTGTGTAAAAGTGTTCTGTGTGTAAAAGCGTCTGTGTGTAAAAGTCTCCTCTGTGTGTAAAAGCGTCTGTGTGTAAAAGTAAAAGCGTCTGTGTGTAAAAGTGTGGAAAAGCGTCTGTGTGTAAAAGCCGTCTGTGTGTAAAAGCGTCTGTGTGTAAACGTCTGTGTGTAAAACGTCTGTGTGTAAAAGCTTCTGTGTGTAAAAGCGTCTGTGTGTAAAAGTCTCTGTGTGTAAAAGTGTTTGTGTGTGTGTAAAAGCGTCTGTGTGTAAAAGCGTCTGTGTGTAAAAGCGTCTGTGTGCAAAAGCGTCTGTCTGTAAAAAGTTCTGTGCGTGAAAAACTTTTTGAAAGATACGATGCAAAAGATACGATGCCATATAATATTGTCTTGATACTACTCTTCTCGTCTGCCTGTAATACATCTTTAATATATTGTCTTGTAATATAGAGTCGCCATACTAACAGCAGAAGAAGACTCTGCTCCTCTACGCTCTCGGGCCATCCGTCGTCTAGTTTTTTGATAAAAATAAATATTTTGGAACCCTCAGGCTGTGGCTGTAAGAATGTCATGACACTATGATTTCATGTACATGGGTGTTCCATGGCCACTGACATGTATGGTGTGCAAGGCCGTAGAATGGAAGCACCCCGCCTTGCCAAATGCATTGGAAATCGTTTGGCACATCTGTTACAAATCACATGCAAGGAAACTTAGAATGGTGGCACACTGACATGGCGCCGGGACAAAATTTTGTTGTGCCGCTGCTTGCACTTGCTTCGTAGAAGCGGCCAGATGGCTTCACCAAAATCCCTAAAGATATGCTGAGCTGTCTGTGCTTGTACTCCAGGTTCTCAGGCCTGCTCACTGCTTTCAGAAAATGGTGACCCAGGAAAGTGCAAGGCGTTCCACTCCGCTGGATCTGAAACTTCCTCCAACTCACTTGCAAAGTAGCGCCGCAATCTTTGTGACGCGGTTTCTGTATCAAAATCGTCACCTTCAAACGTTTCAGCTGCATGCTTGATGGCTGCATTGCGCTCAACTTCATTGGCACCATGCAGCGGGATTGCTTCATCCTCACTGATGTCTGACATGGACATCACCAAACGGCTGAAATGCAGGCATTGAGCAGCTGTTGCATTCTGTAGATCTCTCAAAAGGTCACGTAGCAATGAAATCCTTTGCAAGTAAAGAACTCGGCGTTCTGCTGCCTGAGCGTCATCATACCTTCGTTGGCATCTGTTCAGCATGAAAATGGTCAGGGCCTCTGGCGACAAATCTTGATATGGTTCTGGAACATCTCCTACTGTCTCAAAGGTCGGGATGTCCTCATCTCAGATTCCTTCCCAAAGTGGCACTGGTTCAGGCGCAGGTTCTGCAACGGGCTCTGGAATCGGCCTGCGCTGCCAAGAAAGTCTCATCAGCACAAAGGGCAGCAAAATCAGAAAACCAAGAACCAAAGTGGAACCAATGTCCAACTGTCGCTGTTGTCAATGTCCTCATTGCTGCAACCTTGCAACTGGAGTAGGCTCAAGGCGCTAACCAATGCACGTACGCGCTGCCTCTTGATGAAAATGCGTCCAGGGTCGTCTGAACCTTCTACTGTGTTGGTACTCATGTTGTAGTCTCCAAGCAAAGACATCAAAGAAACAAGATTCTGCAACTCAAATGGCGGAGTCGCCCGACACCTTTTCTCTGCAAAATGCCACGTGCGCCCGAACTATCCGTGTAGAGATGTATCTTGGTATAAGCCTTCAGGTTGGCCAAATGGGCTCCCTGGCATAGTGCAATGGCTCTGTCATGAACTTCAAGCATGTTACGAATGGAGTTGACTCCCATGGAATTGTTGTTCACTTCAAGGGAGTTGTTGTTCACTTCAAGGGAGGGAGGATCATCCAGTAAGAGATTGTGCAAACTCATATTGTCAATTTTCGGCATCTTCTGAGCCCTCCCGCCTGTAATCTCCTCCGATTTCGTCTGGGATAATCTGAACTTCCATGGAACCCACTTCCAAGCTTTCTTGGTGATTTGGTCATGAATCAAACTCACCAAGCGTGTTGATGGAAAAAGATCTGCATGACCCAATTCCGATGGATAGTTCACCATGAACTTCTGTTTCATTGAAAGCAACACTGAACGTTCCAGTTTCGGAGGAAAGGTTTCCGTCCAAGATCCGGACGCATTGGAGAGACCTGTTGAAGGAGCCGTGTCCAAATTGGAGCTTGATGTCGGTGGAGGCCGGAGAGACTCAAATGCTGCGCGCAAACATGCCTTCTGAAAAGTGGTCAGGCCATGGTTACTGTGCCACTCAGTCAACACATCTTCAAAGCCCTGGAGATCAACTGCAGCCATTCGAAAAGAATTGGCATTCCAGCCTTCCATCATCAAGTTATTGCAGAGGGTGGAGTCCACTCCACAACGTGTGAAAATGTCTTCCAGAGATTCTGAGGCCATGGCAACTACGCACCAGGTGACTACAAGGGAGAAATGCATCGCCACTGAATGGCATGAAGTCATGGGACATGAACTCACCTTGAAAGTGGAAGACATCTCCAAAGATATTAACTTTCATCCACGCAAAGTCATTATATAGTACGGGGGAATGATTATGGGAGTGAATTCTTATCTAAGATTATGGATTCTCCTATACCTATTCCAAAGTCTGAAACTTCAACGCGCTCGTCTATACGTACGGGTAGTTAACCTACGCGCTTAAAACCCCAAAGACCAAACATCAAACTCAAAAACCGCAAACTTAAAACCAACCGGTAAACAGATCACGACACAGCTTCAGCAAAATTCGACATGCAGAAAGGCTCTGAAATAAACGCCAACGTGAATTCGAAAACCCTCGCAGTTCCGGATGGTGCTCTCTTCTGGGTAGGGACGAAAATTGTCCATGGCAAACCATAAGGACGAACCCACCCACCCATACCCTTAAACAAGAATGGCCACACGAACATAAAATGAGATGTTCACAAGGGTCATTAAAACTTGGATTGTCACAGCACCACATTGTGATTACTGGATATTTGTTGATTTCTTTGATTGACAAATTCTTGGGTGAAACAAGGTGAGAAGTGACGGATAAGATTCCGCACTGCAAATTTAAAACAGAAAAATGTTGTTTGGGATTTGGTTTTGGTTTGAGTTGGTTTTGTTTTGGGCAGCGCGACGTAGGTATGACGTATACACGTATTACAGACGTTACGTAAGTTACAGACCGGACTATATACCTAGTCCTGTTTGGAAGGTTAGAGAGAAAGTATCGTCAGCAAGCTGAATCTACCTTCTCCTATACCTATTCCAAAGTCTGAAACTTCAACGCGCTCGTCTATACGTACGGGTAGTTAACGTGACACCCGGTCGGTGCGCCCGTAAGGTTACTTGGCCAAAATACTTTTGGCCAGCGTACGCAGGTATACGTCGCAACGGAACCAATTAATACGATTGTTAACAAATTCTTATTCTCGGGTAATACGTACCCGTTTAATTATAACAATCCAACAGTGTCTGACAATTCGCTGCACTCTCCTTTTTTCTCTCCTTTTTCTTAATTGGTCAAGTGCCCGAGATCCAGTCAAGGAGGATGACTCCGGCTGCTTCCTCCGATCCAATACATAGATCCGAAGCGCCTTCACTCTCATCCCCCCTAGGTGCGGGTGGGTGGGAGCCCTTTCTTTGAAAGGCACCCTCAGAGCCAGCAGTTGCTGACGATACAAACTTAAACCCACAACATGACCCATGATGAAATACCTTCATCGGGTCTCATTAAAACGTGGTGAAGTACATTCACCCCAAGACAGCACAAACCCTATCCCAAATAGTGGGGACAAATTTTTGGAAACTTACCTTTCTTACAACAGACAAGTACCCCCGAAGGATGAACTACATTCATCCATCAAAATACACGGTAGGCAAATAATCAGGAAATACTTTCCTGCACGGTTGTAAAACAGAAAACAAACAAAGACCTGTTTCCAGTTTGTTGGGTTGTGACGTGCGTAGCAAGACGATGTTACGGGGGGGGAATACTTTCCCACTTCATGGAGGATGCTGTCAAGTACATTGACAGCATCCTCAGTCACGGAACGCACCACCCTTGCTGTCCCACTCCGATGGACACGTCCACCCCGCGTGACACCCGGTCGGTGCGCCCGTAAGGTTACTTGGCCAAAATACTTTTGGCCAGCGTACGCAGGTATACGTCGCAACGGAACCAATTAATACGATTGTTAACAAGTTCTTATTCTCGGGTAATACGTACCCGTTTAATTATAACAATCCAACAGTGTCTGACAATTCGCTGCACTCTCCTTTTTTCTCTCCTTTTTCTTAATTGGTCAAGTGCCCGAGATCCAGTCAAGGAGGATGACTCCGGCTGCTTCCTCCGATCCAATACATAGATCCGAAGCGCCTTCACTCTCATCCCCCCTCAACGACGTCTTCGGGTCACCATCGACCAATCAAGTCCGTCGCTTTGGACTTCTTATTGGCAGGAAGTGACTTCATCACTCCCGCCTTTCTCTTCCTTCGGAGCTCTTTGATTTCGTCAAAGAGCTCACCTCCCTTTTCTAATAGCTCCTTGAACTGTTCCTCCAGGAGGTCCTCTGGTTTTATCTCGACCCGTAAATCCATGCTGAATCCACTAAAGTCCTCGTTGGTGAGAGCGTCGGCCTCCCGGTACTGTAGCCTTGGTAACCAGTCCAACCTCAGCTCCAAGTCTTTGCAGTGAAGCGTCCAGGCCAACTGCATCAAAATGATGCACAATGGGAACTTCGTCGTCAAGAGGCGGGAGACCAAGTGCCGGTTCCCCAGGTTGTCTGTGCCGGCCGAAAGGCAAAAGCTCCGGGCGCTGCCTTGGGCTGGCGGGAAAGCCTTGAGGGATGCCAGGGTTCCCAACAGCTCCAGTGACGCTATAGCTCTGTACGGTTCTCCGGCTTCAAAGACCCACGGGGCGTTGTTCCTATCCAACCTCACGGAGAACCACCGGCATCGTCCCCTGTCGTGGGAGTCGCCACAGCACCAACCCCCAATGACTACAGTCTCCCCCTCGGCTTTCGCATCAGACCTGAAGATATGATCTCCTTCCACCTCCGGTGACACTCTCACCTTGGTGCGGGCTATCTCGGGTACCATCGTCGCTTTGAGAAAGGTCAAGATCAAGATGATCGCTGCGGGGACCTGGAGCGTTCGACAGTGGTCTACCGCCGTGACCCAGGAGTAGAGCGGGCCCAACAGCGGCTTCAAATGCGTGAAAGCCGACATCATGAAGGCCAATCGGCCCAGGGCTGACCTGAACTCCTCCACTTGCACGACTTTGTTTGCCACCGTCCGCTCCATCCAATCTCGTGCCCACCTCAGTCTCTTCTCCGTCATCCCTAGCTCGCACTCTTTCACATCGACCTGAAAGCCAATCCACTCGGCACGAGTCCCCCCCTGGAACTTATGCCACGAGAAGGGGGTCCCTACGACCATCAAGAACAGCAATGCTATCCAGATTGCGGCCAGCCCTCCAAGGCCGTTGGCCATGAACAGAAGGTCATCCACGTAGGTCAGCTGGCAGCTGTCCCGCCTGGCCAACAGGGAGTGGGCGCACCTTGTGATTGCCGCGAAGAGCCGGGTGAAGTGGTAGCTCGCCGACGTCACACCGAAGGTGCCAACGGTGTTGAGCCACACCTTTTCACTGTTCCCCCCACCATCATCCACCCCGGTGCGACACGCCTGGTATCCCCAGTCCTCCTCTCGCACCAACACAAGTCGGTGGGCTCGGGCGATATCTGCTGCCAGGATGAAGGTCGGGGGGAATAGAGCCCTCATCGCCATCTTGATCTCTGCGGGCCCCGGGTATCTCAGCTGGTCCTCCACTTTGATCTGGGAGTTGACACCGACATTGTGCGTCGCGTCGTGCACCACCCGAAAGCTGTGGTCCGATTTCTCCAGGGCTGCCAGAGCAGCCACCCTCAACCTATCACTCGCGGCCCCCTCGTCCATCTCCACCATGGCTCCTAGGGCCTCCTCCTTACGGAACTGTCTCTGCACCGCCTCTGCGTTGTCCACCGCTGAGGTGTAATTGCTCTTGTCCGCAGGCCAGGGGACAGGCTCGTATTTGCGCCACTTTTCCTTTGCTTCGAAGACTTCGGGGACACGTGGCATACCTTGCACCCCCAGTGGGACACCTGTCCTGAAACTACCTGGCCCCGTGCCGAAGGCCGACCAGTCCGGGTCCCCAATGATCTTGAGGTGTTCTGCGATGGCCGCTAACATGAATGGTTGCCGGGGCTCCACATGCTCCAGCTTCGCTCTTTCAACCCCGGATCTCCGGGATAAGTGCCCAAGCCATAGGTTCCTTGCCGCCTCCACGACACCTTCTCGGAAGGGCGGGCCCTCACATCTTCCCAAGGCCAGCCTATACAGATCGTTCCTCAAGTCTTCCTCGGTCGTCAAGGCCAGTAGCTCTTCCCCCAAGCTGCTCATAACAGATACATCCCGGAAGGCCGGTCTTCTATTCCCCTGGGAGCACAGACCTGCCCCGTCATGAAAGAGCTTCTGTCCAGGCCCCCTCATGGGGTACGAAGCAACTCCTCTCTCCTTCTCCACCGTCTTGGCCAGCTCCAATGCTGGGTCTTCCTCTGTTGCCATCCGCGTTTTGCACGAATCCACCTCATCCACTTTGCCAACCCTCGCGCACCCATGTTGCTGTTGATCCTCGTGTTGCTGTTGATCCTCTCCCCCTCCGACAGGCGTCGTGGGTTGGCTTTGGTGCCAATGGTTGAACAGCAATGATGCGATCATCAGGTTCATCTCTGGGGGGTAGGCCGCTGTAGGCCCTGTCTTGAAGCCCCCTCCGGACTCTGCTCCGATCAGAGGTTGGTGTGAATGCCCGCAGGTGCGGGGTAAGGGGCCCAAGTAGTATAAGTCCTTGTTAAAAGTGGGCCAGCCGCCAAATCCCAGCTGCAGAAGCCCCCTAGCGTCGCTCAGAAATCTTGTTGGCTTGGGGTAGTCAGCTCCGTAGGTGCATTGGTGGAAGGCAATGGTGTCCATGCCTCTTTTCTTTGCTACCTTGCGCAGGGCTTCAAGTTGCCACACACTTGCTGGCGTCCCGTTGCGTGCTCGGCCTAAATCTTCTGGGTGCTCCCAGAGGCATACTGTCTTGTCCGGCGCCAGCTCCAAAGCCTCGATGCATCTCATGACTAATGTCGTGCCGAGGTCAGCCTTCTCTTTCAGCTCTGCCTTCAACCATGGGAAGCCAAACGGGAATTCCCTTGATCTAACTGGCTTGGGCCCCAGTCTGTTTGCCCAAACCGCTCTGGACCATGTGGAACACGGGGGTGACATGATGATGATGTCAAACTCCCCATTCTTTATCCTGGTGGCCAGGTCTTGCCACCTATCATCATCAGACATGTCATGTCTGTCCGAGATTTGGAGATCTATCTCCGTCATCTCTAAACGGACCCCTTTAGAGTCACACAGTTTCTGGAGGCAGCTGCGCACGTCACTTTTGCGAGGTGCGCCCGAAAACATGTAAAGGACTTTGACGCACTTCTCCGGCGCCTGTGAAACCGGTGAAACTTCCTCTGACTTCTTTCAGCTGCTGCCCCCTCCTGCTGGGGCACTGGCCTTGGCCGTGTCGCCCCTGACTGTGTTGCACGCCGACTTGGGGTGGTTTCCCAGGCAGCGCTGGCACTGGTGCACGAAGTTGCAGTTCTTGGCCACGCACTTGTTGTTATTGTTATACTTAAAACATAACGGTCTTCCATCAGGTGTCTTCACCTGTAGTTTCTTGACCGGTTTTGGGCCACGTCCAGCTCCCTTGGAGCCTTTGCTTGGGCTCTGTGCCCCTCCCTGACCCGGCTTTGCTGGTGTTCCCCCCTGGCGGCCACCACTACCACTGCTGTAGCTTGCCGCGATGCTTGTGGTCAGCGGCACCACAAAGTGGAGGTTCATCGTCTCCGGGTCGCTGATGGCCCTCCTCATTGCATCCTCCAACGTGGGCTCTTCACCTCGTCGTAGCAGTTGGTAGGCACGTTTTCGAACCTCTTGCTCGTACCCGAGCACTAACTCCCATCGGGGTTTTTGTTCATGTGGTAGTTGTAAGCCATGCACATGCTTCCCAAGCACGTGATCGCTCAAATGGCGATAGGCCTCCACCAGCCCTCCTTGCAGCCAAACACGGTTCCTGTGTTTTGTCCTGGCCATTTCCCAGGCTAGGCCTATACGGCGGTGCCTCAAGCGGAGCTCTTCTGCCGTCTTCGGCATAGTCACTGTGTTGCGTGCCGCCTTCATCTTGAAGGTTCCTGTGGCGGCATCCAGGCTTCCCTGGAGCAAGTCTGCCTCTCCATCCTCCACTGAGGCCACATCTCTGAGGTCCTCCAACTTCGGCAGGTTGGTTTCGATGTCGTCCAACTTCGCCGCGATGAGGCTCTTGGCGGGAACCTCATAGTCCCTCAAACGCCCGATTTGGTTCTCAAGGGCTTCTCTGAGCATCGCGTGCTCACTGACCGGGACCGGCCTTGGTACCATTGCTGCCCGGGCCTCCGCCCTAGTCTCATCGCTGGACTTCTGCTGTGTCCTCGACGTCTCCCATGCGCTAAGCACCAAAGCGGTGCTGCGCCTCTCTGCATTCCCTGCTGTGTGGTCCAGTCCGATTTCGGCGTTGAGCGCCGTACGGACTTCCGCCCTGGTTTCATCGATCCCAGAGAACAGCCGCACGGAGGTGTACCCTCTGTGGTACAAGGCTGCTTGTACCTCTTCCGGGACCCCCACCTCTGACAGCAGGTACTTCAAGTCTGAGTCTGCGGCTTCCAACGCCGCTTCCGACTGCGCGTCTGTGAGCGCAAGCAACGGCATGGCTCAAGACTTCACTAGGTGTTGGAAAGTCCTACACCCTTGTGCACCCCTGACCTGACCAGCAAGACATGCCGATAGGTGCCTTCACACGTCGAAACATTACATATCATGTGATATGTAAGCTTTCATGATTTATCTTGCTTCTGTCAACGTGTCGCTTGACCCTACAGGTCTGCTGCGGCACAAATGCATTGTGCACTAACACGATCATGACAGAATGCAAACGACACCTCTTGGCGCCTAACCCCCTCCCAAGCAAGTACTTTGCTCGGGTTCCGGGTGTTCCCGAGCTTACAATCGCTCGGGCCGGGCTCGCTTAGGTCAGTGCATGACCCTCCCCGGCACTATGTCCGGCGCTCCCCTGGGTTCCCTGGGACTTCACTTGGCCTTGCGCCATCGTCCCTCCCCAACGGGTTCCCTGCGCGGACAACCGCAGCCCCAACTCCCTGTGGTGCTTTCCATCGCCCCTATTTTCTCAGTCCACGTTGCTCGAGCTGGACGTCGTCGAGCTGTCTTCTGCTTCTGCAGGGTCTTTGCCCTTCCAGCAGTGTCCGCAAATGGAGTTGAACTTGACTCCCTTCAGGCTGTCATGGGGCTCATAAGCCGCAAAGTTCTGACCAGGCTTGGTCCCACATTTGCCCCAAATGTGGAGCTTCCGGCCTCTTCACTTCCAACGTCCTCGGCTCCAGCTCTTTCATCCATCAACTCTTTGACGGTCGGCACCTCCGCTGGAGGATCCGGCACTCGCTTCACCACCTCTTCGGCCTCGGCCCCTGGGGACTTTTCCACCGCTGGACGTTCAGGGTCGTCCAAATCTACTGGTGTCCAAATCTCCGGCATCTCCAGTTTCCACATTTGTCTCCTGATGGACTCCTCGTCATACTTCACCGCGACGACGTGGTCCTTCACCTCCTCGAGGCCCGAGTTCTTCAAGTCCCACTCCGTATCACTCCGGAGTTTGTCCAGGAGACTACATTGGATCCGGGCCACGATCCTTTGAGCGGACCTGACATACTCGTCTCCGCTTTCTTTGACTGCCCACCTCCCAAGCATCTGTCTCTCTTCTCTTGGGATGCCTGCGGAGGCTGCCATGGACACTATCCAATTGCGCTCCGCATGCTCCGTCCAGAGTTTGTAGAGCTCCGGCAGGGGCTCCGGCAGCAGCAAAGGGCCCCTGCCGGACACCCATCTCCCATCTTCATAAAGCACTCCTTCAAACGGGAGTATACCACCCTGGTCATCACCACGAAGTCGTCGTACGTGGCTGGCCTCTTCTCCTCGAGGTCCTCCAATCCACAAGGGAAAACTGGCACCAGGTAGTCCCTCGGGTACCAGTACCGTTCCTCCAGGATAGCCATCCCGGTCTCCAGCCACGGCAAGCCTGTGATGCTCACCCTCCGGCTGATCATGAAGGGAAGAATCTTGTTCTTCTTCCCAGGCCCCGAGACCTTCGTCTTCCAGAAGATGCCGTGCAACCCTGCCTTGGTGAACTTCATGGCCTTCAGTGAAATCCCCTGGAGGTCGTCTGTCCTGCTGGCCGTCCATATCTTGACCAGCTTGCACCATGCAGAGAACCGCACGAAGGTTCCGTTGCTCGGGCTCACGACCAGCATCTCCATGGCTGCTATCACCTTCAATGGCAGCAATGGCGCTTGCTTCTTCTCCGGCCTCTTTTGCTCCATCTCCTTGTTGGTCATGTCCAACGCCCTCTTGAAGGCCACATCTGAAGAAATGGCTGCTCCTGGTCCGATACCAGCGGCCCTCTCAAAGAATGCCAGTGTCGTCCCAAAGGACTGCGGCACCGTAGGGGGGGCCTCAGTCAGCCTCAGCTCCACCAGGTAATCTATCGCATGTGCCCTGCGGGAAGGCCACCTCACCTGATGGACGATCTCCAGCCACGTCAGGAACTTCTTCCACTCCCTGAGTCTCTTCCTCAAGGTGGACGCTCGGTACGCCCCCACTGCGGCCTTGAGGAACTCACGGGGATCTTTTGAGTCCTCAGCCCCCCGCACTATTGGGAGGTCGGCATTCTCCTCCAGCACATCTACCACCTTTCCTGCTTCCACCTCCCATTGGCGCTGTTCCCGGCGCTTCACAGTCTCGACCGTCTCTGTATCGAGCTCAGCATCTGTCGATCTCCTCCGACTTCTCAACAGAATTGCTCCTGAATGCTTTTCCAGCCAAGTCTTGGTCGGCACCTCTCCTTCCTTGAGTTCACCTGCAACTCTCTGTCTGTGCGCCTTGGCCTTGGCCGCCATGTCGACTGCCATCTGCGCACCCCGCTTCGCAATTCTGTTCCTCCTCAGCCGCGCTACCTTTTCCTCAGCGGCCAACTGCAAGGCCTCCAGCACCGTGGCCTTTTTGATCAACTCATGATCCGGGCAACCATATTGCCTCATAATGTCCATCCTCTCCTGGTCTGTGTCCGCCACGTACGCCAGGAGATCAGCAGAGACCTCACCGTTCATGGTCACTAACTCCTTGACCCCCGGTGGTAAGACACCCCAATAGGCCTCAAGCTCCTCCGGGGTCACGTTCTCCACCGCCCTTTGGAGTCCCAAGTTGGCGGCATCCAACCTCTCTTGGACTTCCATCTCAGTCCTCTCCACTGCTGGCTCCGCATGTTCTGGGCCGTCCTCAAAGCCCAAGCCGACTTCTTCCCAGCCATCGGCGTCATTCCCATCGAGCCCCGGGCTGGCGTCAGACGCCGTAGCTCGCGCCTGCCACCTCGCCCGGAAGCCCCTCAAGGGCTCATCTGGCTCCATCGCGTCACACGATGCCCAAATACGTTGGGCGTACTCCCTAAAGCCCTTTCTTTGAAAGGCACCCTCAGAGCCAGCAGTTGCTGACGATACAAACTTAAACCCACAACATGACCCATGATGAAATACCTTCATCGGGTCTCATTAAAACGTGGTGAAGTACATTCACCCCAAGACAGCACAAACCCTATCCCAAATAGTCGGGACAAATTTTTGGAAACTTACTTTTCTTACAACAGACAAGTACCCCCGAAGGATGAACTACATTCATCCATCAAAAAACACGGTAGGCAAATAATCAGGAAATACTTTCCTGCACGGTTGTAAAACAGAAAACAAACAAAGACCTGTTTCCAGTTTGTTGGGTTGTGACGTGCGTAGCAAGACGATGTTACGGGGGGGAAATACTTTCCCACTTCATGGAGGATGCTGTCAAGTACATTGACAGCATCCTCAGTCACGGAACGCACCACCCTTGCTGTCCCACTCCGATGGACACGTCCACCCCGCCTACGCGCTTAAAACCCTAAAGACCAAACATCAAACTCAAAAACCCCAAACTTAAAACCAACCGGTAAACAGATCACGACACAGCTTCAGCAAAATTCGACATGCAGAAAGGCTCTGAAATAAACGCCAACGTGAATTCGAAAACCCTCGCAGTTCCGGATGGTGCTCTCTTCGCCTTTTTGCTTCGCAGTGGTCTGGGGTTCAAAGTTCACTTTGACCCAAGGTGACCGTGGGGTTCAGAGATCAGTTTTGGTTACGTCCATTCTGGCAACAATTCAGATTCACTTGAACTAGTGGGAATTGCTATTCCAGCTGGACTGTTCTCTTTCACCCCCATTCTACAACAGGCCAGTTAAAGGAGTCTGCCAATCAACTCATCCGGGTGTTCAAAGGGTGTCACATGGGCTACGTCTAGGATCTGAAGCGCTTCAGAGGAGTCATGTCTTGAAGGTCCGTCCGACAAATTTGATGAGGAAGGAACGCGTTCGATCCAACTGTAAGTGGGTGATTCGGAGTCCAGTGCATAGAACTCTCTTACCAAGAAACGCATGGAAGGACTTGGGCTAAGGCCCTTGATTGTGCAGTACCTAGCGGAGTCGTTGTCAACTCACCAAATGGATCTTCTAGTCAAGAGCAATGACCTGAACTGCCAACGAATGAGCACCATGACATACAGCTCGATTTGGCAGATGAAGTGGTCCCCAACCAACTGCTTCCATTTGCGTACAAGCGCGTCCGGGACCACACCACTGCACACCAGCTTTTGTCCTGTCGCCGTGTCAACAAGAACTGCACCAATGCCCGCAAAATCAGGCTCCCAGCATCCGTCTGTGAAGATGAGCATGGGCCGTTTCTCAAATGCACTATGAAGACGCCGGGGGCAGGCAGCTTGGAGCATTTGAATGGCATAGTCACAAAAGGACGTTACATCCTTGACACTCTTACGAGAAGTGGAGAAACTCAAGGCCATCACTTCAGCGCAAACTTGATGCAAGTATTTCCCGCTGAAAAAACCCAAGCATATCTCATCAAGCCGTGGACCACCTGGCTCTGATGCCTGGTCAACATGCCGTTTTTCCGAGCCTGCTGTAAGAGTGCCACAAGCCGCTCCACCCTGCCGGGTTTGTTTTCAAGAGTCAAAGTGCCGCCCACAATTTCGCTCAGGTCCAATGTACAACCAAGCACGTTAAACCGTTGTTGAAAAAGGAGCCGCTTTTGACCCAGTTTTCGCATGCCTCCACCCCAACAAGTCTAAAAGCTGGCTAGCCGCCTCATCACCATCGGCCGCAAGGCTTTCAGGTTGAAACATAGGAAAGTCATCATAGAAGACACCACAAGGAATCGCCAGCGTCTTGTTGAGGGGGAACCATAGGCTCCTTGAGATCCTGTTGAAGCGGTAGACAGCCGCACTGGCCCCAAACATCAAGCTATTGGCCACGTAAAACTTAGGAGCACCACTGTGATCGTGGTAAAAGATCACAGCCAAGTGTCTGTGAGATGGGTGTACAGCCATTTGCTTGTAGGCTTTGCTCAAGTCCAAGCACTTTCCAAGCCACCGTTCCATCCCAGGGCCAGTAGCGCCCGAAGCAAGTGAGTCTGCATTGCGCAGAGCCAGACCAGTGACATAATCGATATCCTGCAGCTTCAGGTAGGAGGAGACAGTGTACGCGTTATTTAGTTGAGCTTCCAAGCAGTCGTCAATCGGCCTGAGCTTCATCTCAGCTCCTTGCACCAAGACAAACCGGCGCACTACGCACCAGTCACTGCGGCCCAAATGACTTGTCACCTCCGCTTCCGTGGAGAAAGGGCCTTCAAGAAATCCCAACTGAAGTTCTTCCAACGCCGTGGTTTCAAGATGATCCACATGAGCTGGATCAGACTGATGAACTCGGCTCACAAAAGCTTTCCGCCTCCAAACAGATGATGACTCCAGGTCTTCCTGGACAAGCATGGCTGGCTTCAGCAAATGAGGGTAGCAGGCAGGGGCATCGTGTTTGCCAACCAATCTGACACCCTCGCACATGAAAGGAACCACAGCCATGTCATCGTATTCATACTTTTCCAGAAGGGCTTTCCAGACCAAGAGATTTTCTTCCTGCAACACTTTCTGTAAAGGTTCAGGGAGGCTTTCGTGCAAAGCCTTTTCATCACCCGCAAGTTTGGTGGCCAAGAGTTTAGCCTGTAAGAGATTCTTCTTCCGTTCCAGCTTCACGACATACGCCGGGTATCGAAAAATCCGCCCGCACCGAAGGCGTCCGGATGGCACTCGTAAAAGGTTACAGGTTTACCTGGGGGGGGGGCCCATTTTTCGGCCAAAACCTCCTGTTTTTGATAGGTCGTGACGCTCGCCTTCAAAAAACACTGTAAAAAACAGTACGGAAGACACCTGTTCGTGAACGCGCCCGTCCAAAATCGGCAAGCGAAAAGTGAAAAAAACCCGTGTTTTTCAACTTTTTGACCTCAATTTTTTGGTTTGCAACATCTTTTTTTGCGGTTCCGCAGGTGGCCTGGCCCGGAGGCGGATTTTTGAGTTTTTGGACCCGTTTTCGGACTGATTTTCGTCGTTTTGTGATAGCAGAAACACTGGTTTTTACAGTGTTTTTCTGTTTTCTGCATGCTTGACGGCTAGCTTCAAAACTTCCAAAAACCTCGTAAATTACGCTGTTTTATGTTACGGTGTGAATGAAAACATCGTAAATACCAGTGTTTTTTTTACGTTGGTTAAAAAAACACTGTAAATTACAGTGTTTTTGGCCACCTGACCCTCAAAAACTATGGTATTTGCAGTGGTTTCTGCTTCTCACCGCGCAAAAATACTGTAAATAGCAGCGATTTCGCCGTTTTTTCATGTTTTTCGTTATTTTTTGAACTGCGTTGGTCCGCTATACATGGCTATCAAATTCTTCGCGTTTTTTTTTCCGACAATCAGTACTTTCGTATGTTTTTGGTCTCAATGGCCGACATCATTGGCAGTTACGATGCGGTGCGGGCGGTTGCCGTCGCGAAGCGACGTGAATAAAATCCAAAGCATACTTTGTAACAGTCTCCCGGTGGTCGGCCGAATCCATAGGATGCCAAACTCTTCGAGCCATGGAAAGAAACTGTTTTGGTGTATGGTAAATTCCAAACTTTGAAAAGGCTGCCAATGGTGTCCCTTCCATCTTGTCATCTTCCTCCTCGGACCTACCCCCCCGAAAATGAGGAGGCAATAGCTTAGAGTTCGTAGGATTTGGATCTCCTGTTTTCACTGAAACGATCTTTTTGGACTGTTTGCCCTGCACAGCTGTTGACCTATCATGCAACAGTAGGGGCTTATCCACTGAAAAACCCTTTGAACGAAGAAATTGCACATTGCATTCAACAGCTCTTTGGGCAAGTAGGTGTGGGTAATGAGCCTCAGTAGCTGTGTCAAACACCCAGGTACCTGCATTCCATTTGACCCCCAAGGTTCGTGCTCATGAGCATTCTGGCATGTTGCACTCAACGCGTCAAAAACACCCGGAGTAGAGAGCCAACCAGTATGCTTACGCCTTGACGAACCATGACAACACGCGTGAAAAAGGATTATCTGTGGCTTGCCTAAAGCAACTGCAGCTGCAAGCGAATGTCCCTTGAGATTGCCACCAATGCTGCCCAAAGCCAACTGTTGGCAGGATTTTCAACGCTGATCACCACATTGTTGTCATGGCACCACAACACGACGTTAATAGCCAACCTGCAGCGCTGCTCGTGAAAAAGCACCTCTTCCTGCGAAGAGCTCCACAAAAAGAGGTGGTGAACCTTGTGAAACTGTAGATGCCGCCCCGTCATGTCAGTCAGTATGCGTGCAAAGGTAATATGGCTTTGCACAGAAGCATCCTTTCTTATAACATTTATGGGATCTTCTTGCGCACCTTTTGCCAGCCGGTCCCTTGAACTTGCACTTTCCAGTTTGAAACACAAAGCAAAGTGGCTTGTTGTCATCATCGAGAGATGTGCACCCATCCGGCAGCTGCAACCGGGGAGTACCTCCAGCTTTTCCAGAGCCCTTTGAATTTCCTTTGCCTTTGTCAGTCTTCTGAACCTTGTCAGGACGGCTCAAAGACGCTGATGGAGCTTCATGCCCCTTGGAGACAGGGAGGGGCATCAAATACTGCAAAACGTCAGTTGCCTCTTTGAGGGTGCTGATGGCCTCATCAAGCGGCCTGATCTTATCAGGGGTCTCACGTAGGTTTCCCACGGTCTTATGAGAGGCCATGGTGAACAATTGTCGGTCGGTGTCCAAAAGCTGCTGGAGTGACACCTTTGCAAATCCCCGTGGTGGATCCCGAAGTAAATGTGAAAACAAGAGCCGGGTCCACCCTTCTGCAGTTTCAAAGCTGGCCAAGCCAGCCAAATCCATTGCTAAATTTCGACGTTGCAACGCCGATCTCAACTTCAACTCCGGGTTCGTCTCGCACACTGGTTCTGAAACCTTCGTGCCAAGCTTCAGCAGGCCTGACGCGTCCGTTGACACTGCAACATCCTTCTTAATGGCCTGGATTTCCCAAGTCCTACTGCAGCATTATTCAGGCTTG